AAGCATTCAAGGAGATTGTCGATCTAGCCACCTTGCTTCCCGGTCTCCGGATTCTTTTACTGCAAACAAAAGTCTTGGACAATGCAACATCATTGGACACCATCTCTGTGCTTTGGGATCGGCCCAGTGGCCCACCAGACAAAGAATGGACATTCTGGCAAACTCTGGCCACAACATGCTTGGCAGATACTGTGATTTCGGCCTTGACAGAAAAGAGTTTGTTGTTAAACCTAGTGGTCTGCCACGACGAGGGCTTGAGCACAATTGAACAGTTGTTGGTTGAACATGATTGGTGAGTTGAAAAACTCAAGCATCCAAAATAAATCTGATCCGCATTTCAAGTGGAGTATCAAAATATACAAGTGCACTCTCCTTGCGGTATTTGGTAGGAGTCCTCAATCTGCCTGGATTTTGGCAAAATTTGGGACATGCACACACTCTAGTTGCAGACAAATTGCGTTGTCGAATGGTCTGGGTGCTGAAGGACATTGGGGTGGACATCCCTGCCCTGGGTCTGATTGAAGAAGCACCAGTTGACTATCATGGTGTTGACCTTCTTGCCACCGCACTCCTTGGTGGTCTTTCAAGCTGGTTTGATAAACTTGACCAGGGGGATTGGGTCATCCAACCATGGTATGAAGGTTTTGCACAAGTTCTTCAGTTGCTACGGGAGTGAGTCTCATTTGACATTCAGTCACTCATCTCTATATGTGTTAACTGAGTTCTCCAAGGCCACGAGCTACAGAACTGTTACCATGTGCATCTGCCTCTGCCACCAGCGCCTTTGAAGATATTCTGCCCACTAGCTATCAACATCGAGTCCTAAATGTGATGGTTGATAAGTAAGAGGCTCCTCCATCCATTGTTCTTCATATTGAACAATCAATGACAGCCAGAATCATACTGCCCCAACAGAACAATCCACCCCTGCTGCCAATCATTTAACAGAGAACCTGTCAGCACACAGTATTGTTGGTGATCCGGAGGAGGAAAGTTCTGGACAGAGCATTGAATCTCTGGATGATCTACAAAGTCAAACTTCTAATCTGGATTCTGAGGGAATGGCTCCAGAGGAAAACCCAGCAGATCCAAATTCAGAAGAGGATGTCACTGTTTCTGATATTAATGAATATGAAGAGCAATTTGGCATGGATTTGGGACATGATGCAGGTGTATTTGGAGATTTGGTGAGTAGATGGACTCAGATTGGTTGCAGAGCTACACCTAATCAATCTTAGAGCAGTGGGACAGGGATTCTCAGAAGCTCTAGGGCAAAAATCTTAATGGCTCCAGCTCCTTACCCATTTGCAGAAACTCGGCGCAAAGAGGCTGAAGAGTTGAAGCTCATCCTGCTAGATAAGCAGAGAGATCTTGGGGACAATCATGTAGAGACCTTGGAAGCTATGGAAAGTCTTGCATGGCTACACTTTGAACTTGGTGACTTCAGGTCAGCAAGAGACCTGCGAGTTACAGTGCTCGAGACATGCCATATTCTTTTAGGTGAAGATGACCAACGTACTCTGCAGGACATGGATTCTTTAGGAAGAACACACCGCGTACTGGGTGAGTTCAAAGAGGCAAAGGAGAAGCTAGAGTTGGCACTGGAGAGACAGAGAAAAGTTCTAGGTGAAAGCCATCCTGACACTGCAAGCACTCAGAATTCTTTATCATTGGTATACCAGGACCTGGGCCAATTAGAAAAGGCCCAGGAATTTGCAATGTCAGCAGTGGAGAAACTTAGCCAGCTTCTGGGACAAGATCACACAGCCACTCTGTGGTCCATGCACACTCTGGGGAATAACTACCGTCAACTAGGCCAGTTCACGGAAGCAGAAGATCAATATCACATTGTTGTAGACAAAAGCATCAGTATTCATGGAGAGAACCATCGTGAGACACTGCAATATATGACAAGTTTGGGAACTACATACCTTCTTTTGGGCCAGCTCAAAAGGGCAGAAGACCTCTTGACCATTGTTTTTGACAAACAGACAAAAATTCTTGGAGAAGACCATCCTGATACCTTAAAAACCATGGGGACCTTGGCAACCACATACAACCACTTGGGTCAGCTCAGTGGTTCAGAAGAGCTGGCAACTGTAGCTCTAGAGAAGCTTCAAAAAGTTCGTGGCGAAAACCATCCCAATACCCTGTGGATGCTGATAGAACTTGCATCAATATTCCAGGCACAAGGGCAGCTTGAACGTGCGGAGGAGATTCTTGTTATTGTCCTTGAGAAGCGGAGAAAACTTTTGGTGATGATCATCCTCACACCAGATGGACTATGGAGGAACTTGCAAAATTATATCAAAGCATGGGTCAATTCCAGGCTGCCAAGAAATTAGCAAAAGAAATCTAGTGTAAACCCGATGGCTTTACTTACACGAATTACAGACTCTTACTGATCACATGACCTTGTCTTGATTCTTTACCACCACTACCACTGTCTTCAGATATGTCTTTTGCTATTATACACTGATCTTATTTTGTCTTGTGCCTTTCTGAGTCTCTGTTATATCCATGTTGGAGAAAGGCTAGAAGACGGAAAGAGGCTGGAGACGGAAGAGGGCCAGAACACAGATAAGGCCAGAAGTGATACTACGAAGGTGAGTGGGTAGACCAGCTAACTTGGCTTTACAACAAAGGAAGCAGAAGTCAGACCACAGAGCAATGCAGAGGCAAAGCACATTAATTTTCAACTAAAGATACAAGATAATATAATACGTATTTATACTAAATATGGAGATAGTTTGAATGTGGAAAGAAGTATGTTAAAGACAATGAGCAAAGCAAAAAGACAATAAGAACAATAAGAGAGAAGTATAGTTGCATAAGTCATATGTTTGACTTGGAGAACACTCAGAAGACCTTCATTGCGAAAACCCCAAAGGGCATGCATCAATGGAACTAGCCAGACACAACAGCAAGTTGGACAGATGCAAGCTGGAAGTGCGAGTCGCGTCCAGGAAGTGGTTTGAACGTAACAGCTGTAAACCAGGCCGAAGTCAGGACAGGGCCAAAAAGGGCCAGAAGGGGATCGGAAAGTTCATGGTTGTAGCAGTATCCCCCTCTTAGGGTTCCTTGTCCCCAAGGAACAAAGAACAAGGGGAATATGATGCTGAAGTCGGAATGATGAAGTGATGACGCAACGGGACGGAAGGAATACATAGAACTATGAAGTTGATGATAAGTGTGATTGTGGGATGTTGATAAATTTTTTCTTCTTCTCCATCCACCATGTTGTCACAACAATCACAACAATCGCGCAACAACTGGAAAAGCTGCGAGTTGTCTCCGGACTCGGTTGAGGAGAGGATTGCACGCATGGAAGTGCAAATTGAAGAGCAGTGGGAGGGGATCCTCGCGTCAATGACACAAGAAGTGGTGGAACACGCATGCTTTGCCGTCCATATCGCCGTCCCATGCTAATCTCGCATCGCAGTCCCGGCACCGTATCGATGCCTTGCGTCTCGCTCAAGTACATCTGTCGGCGTTGCGAAGAGAGCCTGCCCCTCACTGTGGAAGGAAGGGCCGTCTGCAGGCCTGCACGGATTGCTGTCTATGGTGCTGACGGTGGCGACCATTGTGCTCACTTGGAGCTCCATCTTCTTGCTTGGGCTTCGCCGACTTTCAGAGACGCGAAGCGGTCGTCCGGCGACAACACTCCTCCTCGTACAGGTAAACCATCCTGTAGACTACTTTCTTACGGGATATGAAGTTTCATCATCTCGGACTCTGGAAGTCGCATGGACGTCGCGCGGGAACAGCAGGCGCCGTGGGCTTTCTGTCGCTCTTCGCAGACAACGCAGCTCATTGTACCTCCTTTTGGTTCATTATTGCAACTGACCTGTTGACAATAATTTATACAACTCCTGCTGTATCTGAGTAGGTTTATCTTACTGGTTGGCCGCAGAACTGAGAACAATCAATTGACTGCTGTTGTTGACGCAGTAAAGCGCGGTCTGTCGGAGAAGGAAAGGTTTGGCACCCGCCGCCTGCGGCCTTATCCCGAGTCATAGTCCTTGTAATATAAGTTATCCACGGAATAATACCTGACTTTCCATATTGTGAGCATCTGCGGTCGAGGCGAAGTGGGCTCCGTGTTCAGTTCTTCTGTCTGGTCTCTCTGCCTTCTCAAGACTCCACAAATTCAAGCACGGGCAGAACAGACCCCGTCCAAATCCAGCGGTCAATTTGAGATGTCCTCCCGCCTCGCTCCTTGCTCTTACTCAAATCTTTCTTATCGTCCGGTACATGCATGAACTCTCAAACCTGCAAGCCCTTCCGGTGGCCAAGCACTGCCTGGAAGAATTACACCTAGATTCGCTCCCTTTTCGGCTCCGCGCGTTGGGCTCCCTCAGACTTCAAGACTCTAGAATCACCCCTCTTTTTGGCATTGTCTTGCTTAGAGCTCACAAGAAAAAGTAACACTCAGTCTATCCTTCGGCGATCTTCCCTGATGGTCTTGCTTTCGCTTCACTTGCTCATTCACAGATTCACGCTCACGCAACGGATGGTCTTGAACTTGCGGCATTTTGTCACTACACGAACGAAATTGAGCACCGAACGGCTTCGTTATGTACCTGCTGAAGTCGCTTTTCTTCGCAAGCCGCAAGTCCCAATTGAACAAGAAGTCGTGGTACCCAGCTCTGCAACAAAAAAGACATATTGTTTTCAACCACGCCTCCGGAGGGAGTCGAACCCACTTGTCCTCATGCATATGACTCGATCCTGGATTTCTACGATTGGGAGGCGGTCTCTAAGACCCACAGAAGCTTGGACATTCTAGGGATAGTACCCGGTGTACTTGACCATCCACAACATGACTTGAACTCTTCCCAGATCAACTCGCCCCTTTTCTTTCGTGCCTGGACTCCGCTTGCATGGTCAAATCTCCTCTAAGTGAAAACTAGCATTCAGCATGTGTGAATCGTGTCTCAAATATAAAAATAAATAAAAAGGAACAAAAGGGAACAAAAGACTCCCATCAAGTCGATATATGCCTCTGGTGGGAGTCGAACCCACGTCTCCTCCTGGCTTGCACAAACTAACGTCTTTACAACCCATAATTGGCAGGCGGGCGCCCAGACCCACAGAGGCTTGATTGGAGGATTCATTGGCAGGGATTAGGTGCAGGGCTTTAGATACACGGACGCGCGGATGTACACAGATACAGCAAAATAGACTACAATTCAATAAGCCCTACTCAAGCCGACCCCGACCCGACGTGCATCTTCTCCTTCAGCCGCTGGATCAACTTCGGCTTCTTGCTCTTCTTGGGCTTCTGCTGCCCCTCTCCCTCTACCTGTTCGTCTTCGCCCTCGCCCGCCTCATCGGCGCTCCCGCTACTATTCGCGCCCTCGTCGTCCGCGTACTGGCTTTGCGGGTCCGTAGGCGGTGCCGAAGGACGCGGGGCAGACGACGTAGCCGCAACCGACCCCGGTACACGGGGATGGTAGGTGCTGTCGTCCCCCGAAGGCGCGGCGAAGTCGCCTGTCGGTACCGCGTCCGCGCCTACGCCCGTATGGACACCACCCGCGCGGAGCGGCTCCAGCCTCGTCTCGTCCGCCCCTCCACTCGCGCCCCCCACATGCGCAGGCGGCGCCGGCCACGACGCAAGGGCCGACACCGACTCGGGTGTAGCCAAACTCTCCGTCTCCGTGCTGGCAGCGTACCCGCTGTCGCCGCCTGTACTCGCCAGGGAGGGCATGGACGCATTTACAGAGGGGGCTGGGACGGCGTGCGGTGTGGGTGTGGGGTGCGGGAAGTGCGCGCGGTGCGTCGGGAGTGCGGTTACGTGGGGGGCGGGTGCGGCGCTGGGGGACGAGACGCCGGGGTGGGACGGGACCAGGCCTGGAGTGGATTGTGGCGCATCGGGGGACGAGAGGGGCACGGGGCTCTCCGTGAGCGGGGGCGTGGCCGCGACGCCCGGGTGGGAGGGGATGAGGCCCGAGGTGGGCTTCGGAATCGCGGGGGGAGAAGGGGAAGCGACGCCTGGGTGGGACGGAATAAGGCCCGACGTCGGGCGCGGTGTCGAGGTAGACGCAGGTGACGATACAGACACAGGTGGGGACACGGGGGCGACGCCGGACAGAGAAGACGCGTGGCCGGTGTGCACGGTCGTGCTGAGTGCAGTCGAATCGGTTGTTGCGGAGGAGTCGAGTCGGTCGTTAGGGGGCGTCGCAGAGTGCGCATTGGACGCAGCGCGATACGGCTCCGGCGCGGATTCGGTGTATGGGATATTTGTGGCGTGGCCGAGGTCGACGCCGTCCTGGCGCCCCAGCGTCGATAGGGACGAAGACGAAGGTGGGAGGGCGGGGAGGGATGATTCCGAAGCCGAGGGTGGGACTCCTGGTGTGGAGCTCAGCGTGGATTCGGAGGACGCTGCTGCTACATATCGCACAAAAAATCAGGTCGGTTAGTGAATATAACGATATGGATGGAAACTCACGCAGATACGCCGCAAGTCCTGGCGGTAGGTACGCCGTCGCAGCGGCCAGAGTGGCCTGCGCGGTCGCGATGATGCCGCCATCTTCCTGCGATGGTTTGCTCCCCGCATTCCGAGATGCATCGTCGCTACTCGTAGCATTCACAGCATCGTTATCGGGCTCCAAATGGGCCGGAAAGCCACCCGGGATGTCAGGGCCAGGTGTCCCGACGGGCGTGCGCGTAACGTGGTTCCCAAGCAGATCGGTCATATTTTCTGCCCATTCGCTGGAGGGTGTCTGTGGGAGGGTGCCGGAGGGGATGGTGGGGACCATGTTGGGCGGGGACGCGTGAATTGTGGCCATTGTGAGTCGGATTCAAGGGTTAAGACCAAGAAGATCGAGCAAGATTCAAGCAAGTTTTGCGGTCCGGTTAAAGACAAGGTCGTATAGAACGTTGTATTGGGCGGCAGTTTGAAGTCGAAAGCCGCGTTTTATACGCTCCCAACAGTGGAGTCCGAGACATGACGTGGTGGTGACCGTAGAGCCGCAAGTGATCGGCCGGGGATTGCCGATCACTCACTGCCATGTTCGTTTCCTGCAAGTTTCTGTGCTCCTCTTGCTCCTCTTGCTCAAGCCAAAGCGCGGTGCATTATTCGTCGGTTGAGATCACTATCTCACAGGCTTGTCCCAGCGTCGCCCAGCGAGCTTCAAGATTGACTTCAGCTTCATTGAAGTGAGTCACGCAAGTTCATCCCAGTTCTGCGACAGCAATGCTCAGTCACCTCCACAGGCTAAAATCTGGACGTGGTGCACGGTGCACGCCAGCCATTAATACGGCTGTTTGCACCATCGCGTGAACAGCTGGACAGCAGATCTGGGTTCGACTCCCACCGTCCGGGATGCACTGGTCGACTCGAGCAAGAAATTCTTTTAGCTTCGTTTCTCTTTTAACAGAAGGCTTGAACACATACGGCTGTCTTCTTCTTCTCTTGTCTCCCTGCCTGAACTTGATCCAAGCGCGACTATCAACGCAAGTATCGTTTAAAACTCCCCAAAATCAATCAGGTAGCCGATTCTCTAGATCTCTTACTAGGTCACGCTCACAGCCCATACTGTACCCTCGGACGCAGTGCACGGCGCACACCCGCTCGCGTTGCCAGAAGCCTGCATAATTTCGACGCGGGAACTCTGGGTTCGACTCCCGGCGTCCGAAATACATAAGTTTCCTGGATGAAACTTTTTCTCGATGTCTTGAAACTCTCCTCCATCCATTTTTTCGCTTCATTTCGCCGTATGCGTCTCCTTCTCCTCTTGCCCCCGGCTGATCGACCTTGCTGGACGTCTCAGTCAGGTGAAGCAGTGGTTTGTCAATTTTTTTTGGTTGCCTCGCTCATTTTGCCCCAGTACCCTCTTGTTACACCAGTACCTAGCCAGGTACGAACCCTGAGAAGGAAATTCGGACGTGGTGCACGGGGCACACCCGCTCGCAATTACATGCCAGCGCTGGTTAGCCCTCGAAAGATTTCGAAGCGGGAACTCTGGGTTCGACCCCCAGCGTCCGAATAGCAGCCTGGAGGTTATTTTGCTCGATGTCCTGAAGCTTGCCGCGATTCTTTTCGTTTGCTTCAAGTTCGCCTGTATACATCTTTCTCTCTGTTTTCCCCCCCACTGGGTAATTCATGTTGTTTTCGCAGGACGTCGGGTGAAGCAGTTGGTTTCTGTTCTCCTGACTCAGTTTTGGCTGGCCGACTCGGATCAAATTGTCTACGACAATACCTGGCCAGATTCACAATATGAAGAGGAACATCGGACTTGGTGCGCGGTGAACGTCCATTTGGAATTGCACTCTCGGTGCACGATTTCCGTGGAAAAGCTGGGTTTGCCTCCTAGCGTCCGAAATGCAAGTCCCCCCAAGATGTTATTTGCTCGATATGTATTTCTTTGCCCAAAGTTGTTGGGTGAGGTTCCAGATTAAGAGTTGGCCATGTGAATTACATTCCAAAGTGATGTGTTCTAGCGACTCGGGGACTTGGCACCTCCCCGAACGGGAGGATCATCGGTTGAGTCGATTGCGAGCATCAGGGGGGAACCATAACATCTTTCTGAATAAATGTGGCTCGACGCCCAGTCATAGTAAGTGTGCACGTCCGGAAAGCGGAACATCGCCTCCGGGCCACCGACCCGGCTTGAGAATGTACTGTCGAATAATTAGAGGGTTGGGTACCGCAGAGCTAGTGCTGCTGGAAGCGCGGCGCTGAGTGGGTGATCGTGAAATGTACGCAGCACTGCTCGTTTAAGCACATTGCGTGGATTGATACCCATTCCCCTCGCCCAGAGATATCTGTTGAGGAACGCGCTCTCGAGCCTGATGATTAGAGAGTGATGTCAATCGATTCAGAATCGCGGCGTTAGCTCTCACATTCGACTGTTCAAAATATTGTCCCATGGCTGCATTGTAAATAAGTAAACAAAACACAGTAAATGTCCACACGGACTCACGCTGGGGCACAGCCGGTAACAAGCCGACTGTCGGGACCTTCTTCCGACAGGTATCGGACGAGAATACCCGCCTCATCGAGAACCCTACACCGAGACTCGGAGCTCGAGGGTACGTCTGAAATATAGATCAAGGCCGGTCTAAGATCATCTATATGGCCTCGTGTGTACAATCCGGGGCTCGTAACTGGCACTCTCACACCTGTGAACTACTGACAGCCACAACTTGAACAGCTTTTACTCATGGCGTTTCGTGGCACCAAATCCGAAAACTTTCCTGTACACGGCCCGGGCTGAGTCCCTGGGTAATAGATTTATGTCGACAGCGCATGACGGGCACGGAGAAGTTACGGGCGCAAACAACACAAGACGGTGATGTCAGCCGCCCGCTCAATGAACAACTTTCCCAGGGTGAACAGGAACAATCCTTCTACGACCGTAGCATTGGAGTTTGTAACTCGCGTTTTTTGTTCTGTTTAGAGTTTCCCTGTTTATTTCGAGCACTGCAGGCGTGTCGTGATCTGTGGGCCGCCACAGGCAGTGCCTCTGGGAGCCGTAAGCATGTCCCAAGGCTCCCACTGTTTTCGTTTAGTAAAGGTTTCAACCCAATAAAACTCTGTTTGTTTTCATTTAAGTAGTTTACGGGGGGTTGTAAACAGTAAATAAATCAAAACTAAACCATTGGGTGACTTTCCGTAAGCATAGATTATTCTCCGAGTTTGCTTGAGAGTGCCAGCGATGGGATAGTTTTAAAACCATTTATATGGGTTTTCTTTTAGTTTATCCCGAACTGTAAACCAAAACCAATAGTTGGAGCCTTAACACGTCCATGCGGCAGGCAGTGATTCGCGGTGTCTGTCTTCAATCTGATTTGGATTTTTACTAGACGTCTGGCTCGATTGCTGTGCTTTGTAGAATTTCGAAGAGTTTCCCACTCCTGAGGAGTCAGACGAAGATTGACCTTGTGGAAATCCTATCGCAGGAAGTGAAAGAAATATGAACCGCGTCACGGTGTGGCATGCACGTTCCCGTGATCATGCGAGAGCGGCCTCGCCGCTGCGAGCGCTAATGACACAATCTGGCAGCCCAAATGTTGCCAAGCTGTCAGACTTGATTCTCACCGACGCTTCGTCCTTGCCACGACACCATCCTCATCCTCGCCCCCACAATATAGCA